CTGGGCCCCCTCCCCTGGGGTATAGGACTTGAAGGAAAGGCTTTTTGAGAAACCAGGGCCCCTTCCTACCCATCAAAGCGTCCTCTCCTCCCGCAGAGAGCAGGGAAGACTGAGGCCAGAAGGTGAGCCTTCCCCATTTCTCAAGCCTGACATTCCATACTGTATCCGCCTCTCCTAGCTTCAGCTCTGCCTCGTTCCAGGAGGAAATCCGACCCCCTCCCTTCATCCGGACCCCACTTCCCTCAACCAGACACCCCCCCCACCCTGCTTTTCCTGTCAGCTCCTCGGTGGAGAGATGAGGAGTGGAGAGCACGGTTTCAGGCAGGGATGGGGCCCAGAGGCGATAGAGGGAAGAGTAACTGGGGTGGTGGGGCAGGAGGCTGGAAGGTGGGCGCAGGGCTGGAGTGGACGGAGGCCAGCGAGAAGCCAGGCGTCGGTAGGGAGTCATGGTCTAGCTCTCCCACCCTCTCCCACTGCGGGAACCCACCCCACCCCCACCTCACACACCCACCTGGACCCGTGAGGCGCCGGGAGGCTCTCCTTCACCGCTATGGAGAGGTTAGATGAGGAGGGGGTGATCTGGGGACGGGCTGGGGATAGGAGTGGCCGGAGGTCTGCTGGACGGGGACCCAGGCACCTGCCCTCCCAGCCGGCACAGCCCACAGCCAGCTAGCCAGCTCAGCATGGCTCCGCCACCAAAGCCCTGCCATGCGCTTTGGCTGGGAATCACCACGCACCCCTTTTTCCAGACCCCCCCAAAGTGCAGCCCCTCCCTCCTCAAGGGCTGACAGCGTTTCTTTGGTACACCCCCAGTTCTGAACCCGGGGGGGCCGGCCGGGGGCTGTCCGGCCACCGCCTCACCCACTCCCCCTCCTCCCCTCCCCCCCTTCCAGCCCAGCTCCAGGCGCCCAGCCGCGGTCCGGGTCCAAGGTGGCAGCCGATGCTTGCGCCCCCACCCAGCCCGGGTCGGGAGCGAGGAGCCCGCAGGCGGCTGCGGAGCGGGCGCCCGCCCCAGCCCGCCCCTGGGCGGGTGTCTTCGGTAGACAATGGCTCAGGCAGCAGCGCCTCGCGGACCAGGAGAGAGAAAAACAAGGCGAGAGGGGGCGGCGGCGCGGAGCCCGGGGACCCCCGCTCTCCCCATTGTGTCTTCCCGAGACCCCCGCCCCGGCAGTCGCCCTCTCCCTCCCTCCTCTCCCCGGTAAGCGCCGACCCGGAGTCGCCGGGCTCCCCCCACCCAAACCCAGGGAACAGAGTACCCCCCAATTCGCGAGCGCCACGAAGAGGGGGCTGGCGGGCGGGGGCCCGATCGAGGGGGCGCAGGCCCGTGATCGCTGCCCCTCCTGGCCGAGACTCACCCTGCGGGCTGGGGGGTTCCGGCGGCGACTTGCCGGGAGCCCGGGAGGCGCCGCCGAGCAGCAGCCCCAGCAGCGGCAGCAGCCTCGCGAGGACGCTGGGGCCACTCGGCGGCGGCATCGCGGGGCTCGGCCGGGCCCTAGCGGCCCATGGCTCCCGCCCGGCCCCGCTCGGCCGGCCCCGCTCAGCCCCGGCTCTGCGCCGCGCCGCGCCGCGCCGCGCCGCTCGGGCTCCCGCTCTGGCTGCGGCGGCCGCTCAGCGCGATTGTCTCCGCCCGGAGCCGCCGCCAGCGCCCCCTGCAGGCGGCGCCCCACCCCGCGGACCTCCGGGCGCCGCCCCCTCACCTCCCGGCTCCGCAAGCCGCCCGCCGGCCCTGCCAGCCCTCCGCCCACCCTGCAGCCCCCAGACCCGAGCTGCAAGGGAGTGCGACGGAGAGGGTCCAATCACCCGGCTTCTTGGAGGTCCAGAGCCCTCGAAATTTGGTGCAAAATCTGGGAGGGAGGAAAGGCTACTGCTTACAACACACTCAAAGAGTAGTACGGTCATGAGGGTCTCCAGAAAGTGTAGGAACTGCCCTATCGGCACAAACACCCACGCAGTGGGGAATCGGTCAGTCCCAGTCTAGCTTCTGCCTCTTGAGCTGAGAGCAAGTTACTTCGCCTTCTGGTCCTGGGCCTTCCTTTCAAGTGAGAATGGTAATAATCTCTACCTCGTGGCGCTGTTGTTAACAACGGTTACATGAGATAACGATATAAAGGATCTAGCGTATGCTTGACAGGAGCAGGGGCGCGTTCGATGGTGCTGGTGTTGGCCCAGGATGCGGCGGAGGCTCACCTCCGCTCAGGTAATAAGATCCATTGTTGGACGGTCATAATGCTTGGGAATTTCTTCTAGAGATGCGAGCGGCCTTTCCCTCTCACTGAGAATCACCATTCGGTCCTACTTGTTCTGGTTCCTGAATGGCAGTCTTTTCCTTCTTCCTCAGCCACTGAACCCCCCATCTGAAGCCTGACCTACGCCCAGCCAAGCTTGCTTTCTTTCCAGTTTCTGGTTGTCATCCTCATTCAGCTCCTGGGTGGCCAAATCCTCATCTAATCTGGTATCCCTCCCTTGGTTTTCCCTGGCTTTCACCTTCTTCTCACAATGTGGTGCCCCAAAGGGGACTGGATATCTAGAGCAAGGACCTTGTCCCCCAGAGGACAGCAGGCTTCTCTCCTGGTTGGGTCCCCTGGTTGGCTCTTCTGACTTAAGGGGACCTTGTTGTGAGTTTGTGATGCCAGATTCTTTTTTTCCCTTTCTTCCTTCCTTCCTTCCTTCCTTCCTTCCTTCCTTCCTTCCTTCCTTCCTCTTTCTCTCTTTCTTCTCTTTCCCTCTCCCCTTCCCTCCCTCTTTCTTTCTTTCTCATAAATTTCCACCTAACCAGATTTCCCAGTCCTCTTCTTATGTAACCAATTTTCCAGAATCTCAACAACAGGATTTAGCACTCATCCCTGGTGAATTTCATCTTGTTGGTTTCAACCCAACTTCACAATCTGTCAAGGCTGCTTTGAATCGGCTTCAGTCACCCATTGTATTGGAGCTCCCTCACAGTCAGCAGCCATCTGCAGGGGTGGAGAGCAGCTTCCCTGTCTCCATTCAAGGGACTCTGGACAACACCAGGCAGCTCAGGGCCAGGATGGAGCTTTGGAACAACCTCATAGAGCTCTCCTTCAGCTTTATCAAAATTGTTCAATTTTAAATCCAGGTCACATTTCTGTCTCGTCTATAAGGGCAAATGCCAAATGCTTTGCTGGATCAAGATCAACTGTCTGGGGCTATCCAATTGCAGTGGTGGGGTGGAGAGGGAGTCTGGCTGGTGTGTAAGGATCACAGCAGTTTAACCTTTTCCTAGGAAAAGTCACCCAACTAAAAACCTGTTCTGGAACTTGCCATGCATGGATGTCAAATTGTTTTCTTTGCAAAATTTACCTTTTATCCCTTTGGGTAAAATCAAATACCAGCAGCTCTTGAAGATGAGGTTAAGTCTATTCGTCAATGGCCTCCTCCAACACTTAGCATCTGGTCCAAACTCCTACCCATGGCCAAAAGGCGCTGCCTGCCTGCCCCCACACCTGACCTCATCTGCATCCTGTGCCTGCCTCCAGTCCATGGGCCTCCTGGCTTTTATTTATTTATTTATTTTAAGATTTATTTATTTATTTATTTGACACAGAGAGAGACACACACACAGCGAGAGAGAACATAAGCAGGGGGAGTAGGAGAGGGAGAAGGAGGCTTCCTGCCCAGCAGAGAGCCCGCTGTGGGGCTCGATCCCAGGACTCCGGGATCATGACCCGAGCCGAAGGCAGACACCCAATGACTGAGCCACCCAGGCGCCCCTCCTGGCTTTTATGTAAACACATCAAGCCTGCTCCCACCCCAGGGCCTTTTCATGGGCTGCTCTTTCTGTCCAGATCATATTATTCTTGTGCGGCTACCTGGCTCATTCATCCCTCTCTCTGCTCACCTCATCAGAGGCCTTCCCTGACTGCTCTACCTAAAATGTCAGCCCTCTCCCATGTAATTCTACCAGAATCTCCTTACCTTGATTTTTACTCCCAGCACTGACCACCACTGACCAGACATGTATGTGCTCGTTTACTTTTTTTTTTTAAAGATTTTATTTATTCATTTGAGAGAGAATGAGAGAGAGAGAGAGCACAAGAGGGGGGAGGGTCAGAGGGAGAAGCAGACTCCCTGCCGAGCAGGGAGCCCGATGTGGGACTCGATCCCGGGACTCCAGGATCATGACCCAAGCCGAAGGCAGTCGCCCAACCAACTGAGCCACCCAGGTGCCCCGCTCGTTTACTCTTTACCCTTGGTTGAATGTAAGTCTCACAAGGGGCTGGTACTTTGCTTTCTTCACTGCTCCATCTGAGCACTGGGAGCGTACCGGGCACATGGGAGGTGCTCAATCAATATTCATTGAACCCATGAATCAACACAATTCTCAGGACTCCAGGTGGAGCCCCCGTCTATCCTGGGACTCCAGTCTTGGCGGGTGGAGGCGGGAGAGTTGTCTTCTGCTCCTAGCCCTCCTGTGAGCTCCCTGCCTGGAGGAGCCCTCTTTCCTAACTGAAGAGCCTTCTCCTTGATGGGGAGGAAAGGTAGCTGGACAGCAAAGCCCGCTCTCCTCTCCCTGGTGTGGTGCTGCTTTCCTCAGGCTGAGGGCTTAGTCAGCCTCCCCCGGCCCCCTCCTCACTCTGAACATGGCTTTAAAGGCTTTTTTTTTTTTTTTAAATGGGAGTGGGGAGAGCAAGTTATATTCCCGAATCTCAGGTCCACTTGAGGCTTATCCCTCCAAAATCATGAAAAAAAAACATACTGTTGAAAGCTGTCCACCAGGGACCAGCCAGCCTTCTCTGATGCTCCCATCCTCCATGGCACCCGGCACCCTCAGACACCCCATCCCCCTCCAGTCTCTCCTGGAGGCTCTGCCACCCTTTCTCCTCTGTTCCGCCCCCACTCCCTACTCCCAGACACTCCCCAAACACAGTAATTGGCGGAGACACTCTCTGCACACACTTCTGCTAGCCCCAGCCCCTCCCTCCAAACATCACCTGTCCCTGGCCCTCTTCTCTTCGCAGACCCAAGAGGAGGCAGCATGCTGGGGGTTGGGGCTCAGCCTCTTTATTGGGCAGCAGGGAAAGGAGTGGCCAGCTCTCACCGGAGGGGGAGAACACCAGGAGGCCTCCATGGGACAGCTCTAACCCGTGGGTGAGCAGAGCAGGGGGGGGCAGGCACATTGAAGAAGGGGCAGAGCAGGCACAGCCCCCAGCCTTCCTCCTAGGACAGGGCGTGGGCTGCCCCCTCACTACTCCTCCTCATCTTCTTCTAGTGGCGGCCGGTTGCGCTTGAAGAAGCCGACCTGGGGGTGCACAGGGGCCGCGGACAGGGTGTAAAGATGCTCAGTGGGCCCCCCAAGCAGCAGTTGAAGAAGCAGGCTAGAAAGCAGCCAGTCATGAGGTCCTCTCCCTGGACCAGCAGAGAATCAGATCCTACTGCATGCACAAATGGAGGCCTTCCCCACTCAGAGATAACAGATGTAACAAGTTACTTGTTTTTAATTTGTCTTTTTGCCCTGAACTTTTTTTTGAAGATTTTATTTATTTATTTGACAGAGAGAGAGACAGCAAGAGAGGGAGCACAAGCAGGGGGAGTGGGAGAGGGAGAAGCAGGCTCCCTGACGTGGAGCAGGAAGCCTGACGTGGAGCAGATAGCCTGACGTGGACTTGATCCCAGGACCCTGGGATCATGACCTGAGCTGAAGGCAGGCGCTTAACGACTGAGCCACCCAGGCACCCCTCCCCTCAACTTTTTTAACGATTATTTATTTATTTGAGAGAGAGAGAGGGAGAGAGAAAGCATGAGTAGGGGGTAGGGGCAGAGGGAGAGGGAGAAGCAGACTCCCCGTTGATCAGGGAGCCCAGATGTGAGGCTCGATCCCAGGACCCCAAGATCATGACTGGAGCTGAAGGCAGATGCTTAACTGACTGAGCCATGCAGGTGCCCCTCCCCTGAATTTTTCTTAATTATTGGCCATTATGTCTCTATGTGACTCAAGCGCCCAGTGATATATGCATTTGATGGCTGCAAGTCTAATGCATGATTTTCCCTAAAAGCACCACGACTTCCCAGGGGTTGAGCACTTGAGCGAGTTTGAGAACAGCCCTCCTGGTGCAGAGGAGGGAGTGACCCCACAGGGCCTCCCCAGAGGGTCTGGATCAGACTTGGGTCTCCCACCTCAGTCAGGGGGAAGGGATTGGGAGGTGAGCCCTGTCCTCCTTAGACAGGGAATTCCTGAAGGCAGGACTCCCTCCCTGTGACTCTTCCTTTCAGCGGGGAACAGGCTGAAAGGCCTTAGGATTTTAGGTGCCACCTCTCCCAGGGGTCTGTGCCCTGGAAGAGGTCCTCTGGAGAATGACACTCTAATAGTGGAGATACGAATGGACCCTGGGTCACCATCTCTCCCTGCCTCCCTGTGAGGTAGGGCACGGCCAAGCCTGTGCCCACCCAGGGACCCCACCCTCCCTTCATGCCTCACCTTCCACATGGCCAGGACCAGGAGCGTGAGCAACACCAGGCCGCCGAGCACGCCTACCAGCACCCACCAGATGGGAATGTCCCTTTCCTCCAAGGCTCGAAGCAGGTGCGTCTGCACCTGAGGGCAAACACACATGTTTTCTCAGTCACCTTGACACCTGCCTCTCCCAAAGACTCAAGCTTGTGGGCTGAGGACCCCCAACCAAGCCACCTACCTATGCCACCCCTCAGAGCCGGGGGTGCCCCGCCCCCACCGTGTGGGGCGCGACGCTTGGGCAGACAGTGGGTCCTGCCGGCTCCATACTCACCAGAGTTTCCCCACTGGGCAGGCTGAGGGCGGGCACGGCGTAGGGAAGGGAGGAGACGTTGAACCAAGCTTGCGACTGCAGCACGAACTGATCCAGTGGCCTCTGAATGGGGTGGGGTGAGAGCCATTTACGTGGGCCTATTCGTTGCAGGAGTCCCGGCCCCAGCCTACCGGTTGCGGAGTCCTGCCCCTGGCCTAATCCCCTCCCCTCAAAAGTAAGCCTTGCCCTCACTCCCTCTTCACCCCCTGCTGCCCCATCTCTCCCCAGAGCAAGCTTGGGCCCCACCCCCGGGAAGACCCGCCCACCGGCACGCCCCTCCCCACCTGCTGGAGGCCGGGCAGCTGCAGGAAGGCCAGCACCCTGACCATGGCCCGCTGGCCTCGCTCCATCTCCTGCAGCTCACACTGCACCACCGTGTACGGCCCCGAGTCACAGCTCTAGGGAGATGCCTCGTTAGTTCCCAGCCCCTCGGACCCCTCAGCCCTCACCACCCCAAGGACCCAACAACAGAAAGGGGCAGGGGGGACAGGGAGCTCGGGCCTCCCTCGCAGGAAGGGCCTCAGATTCAAGCTTCTGACTTTATCTCTGAATGGGGCTGCTCACACGGTTCCAGAGATGCAGGGAAAGGGTGGGAAGAAGTGGGTCATCATACAGCGTTCAACACCCAGAATTTTTATAACTCTGCTTTGACATGTCTTCATTTACTTCAATGTCCTGGGAACCTCTGAAGATTCAAGGACCCCCACCCGGCCCCAGACACAAGACCAGCCCCAGCCTTCATACTCACCTGGATCATTCCTTGGGACCAACGTGGTCCACCCAAGGCCCACACCACATTGCTGGTCCCTCTCCCTGCCTCTCAGAGCCTCTGTCCCCTGTGCCCCAGGGAGACCCCAGCTGGAGACCACGGAGCCTGCTCACCAGGAGAACTGGATCCTGAAGCCTGACCGGCTGGTTGGACCCTGACAGGGACGCCTGTCTGCGCTCCCGCTTGTGATGCCCGGGGGAGGTGGCGGAGGGACTGGGGGTCGGCAGCCTCCAGTTCAGCTGGGGAGGCAAAGAAGCAGTGGGTCCAAGCTCCACTCATCCCCCCTCACTCCCAGAGGGGCCCTGGTTGATGGGCTGGGGCCCCACCCACAACCCTTTCTTCCACCCAGGCTCTTACCTTGTAGGGGTTAGGAGTGGGCTGGGGGGAGCACTGAAGCCCCCCCTGGGGCTGTATGTCCAGGATGTAGAGCAGGTCAGAAGGCTGGGACTGGCCAGGGAGGCAGAGGCAGAGGCGGAGGCCACTTACAGTGCCAGGGCCATTGTTGTGGAGCTGGCGGGTGGCGGTGGCCGGATGTTAGGTGGCTCAGCACCCACAGCGTAGCTCCTGGGTCCCTCCCCAGCCCAGCCTGGGTCCCAGAAGGCCCTTCATACCTCATAGGTGTGCTCCACTTTGGGGCCCCAGATGTCGGAGCTGTTCTCCCTGTTGTCTTCTTCAGCCACCACCACCAGGGAGGCTGGAAAGGAGTTCCTGCGGGGCCCGAATCCCTCTGGGTGAGGTTGATCAGTTGACTCGCCTGTAGGGGTTCCTCCAAAGCCCTCTGAAGCTGAGGGTTCTGCCCGCCATCTCCCAGATCTGCCCCTGGTCTCACCCTCGCAGCTCCACATGGGCCTCTGCCCGGACTGGGACATCCAGCAGCACAGCCTCACTGTTCGGATTCTGGCTGTTCTTGCTGGAGGGGAGTGGATAAGGAGAAGCAGGTCAGGGACACCAGCCCAGTGGACATCAGAACTCTCTGGGGCAGGGCCAGAATTTCAGAGGGGTCAGGAAGTGCTAACTCCACAAACAGCACGCCACACCGAAGTTAGACCTGGGAAAGACCTTCTTCTAGGGCTCCAAGACCCAGACACAAGTCGCGGGGGAAGAAAGGGAACGGGGACGTCTGAAGAGCGGGCATCCCAGAAGACCCTTCTGCAAGGAGGGCATCTGAGGGTGTCTGCATCAGGATCAGCCAGGGGAAGGGAGGTGGGTAGGAATGTTCCCCAGTCCAGTACCTTCTGATCTGTAGCCAGAAGGACACACGCTCCCCAGCCTCTTCCAGGTTCTCCACACTCACCAACATTGTGATTCCTATCTGAGAGACAGGGAGGGCCAAAGTCATGGCCCAGAGGCCCACTCTGGGCAGCTCTGTCCCATTATCTCAGAAGCCCACTGAGAGAGGGAAAGCCACTCAGCCAAGAACACAGGGAGTGTGAGGACCAGGATTCCAGCCCAGAGCTATAGGACTCCAAGCCCTGCCCCTAAGACTCAGCTGTGTCTGAGCCCTTGGTGGAGTGGACCCAGCAGCCACGCCTTGGGGCCTCACCCGGGCATTCCTCTTCATGGGGTTGCCCAGCTCACACAGCACCATCTTGGTCTCATTCTCCTTCTTCTGGTTACAGATGAGTCTCTCAAAGCCCTTCAGGGAGGTAGTTTCAAGAAAGCAGATGGTTGGAGTATCCCATATACATGCAAACTCCCTTGGAAAGTCCGCAAAGGACTTGTGTGCCAGGGTGGAGAGGGGGGCTTCTCAGGGTGGGAGTTTGAGGGATATCACATTCTCCTTTACGTATCCCCGGGGCACCTTATTATTTTCTTTTCTTTCTTTTTTTTTTTTTTTAAGATTTTATTTATTTATTAGACACAGAGAGACACAGCGAGAGAGGGAAACACAAGCAGGACGAGTGGGAAAGGGAGAAGCAGGCTTCCCGCAGAGCAGGGAGCCCGATGCGGGGCTCGATCCCAGGACCCTGGGATCATGACCTGAGCCGAAGGCAGATGCCCAACGACTGAGCCACCCAGGCGCCCCGCACCTTATTATTTTTAATGACATTTTTGGAAATAAAAAACACAAAACATTACAGAGACCATGATCCCATTGTTACAAACTACACCAACAAAATTAAAAAAAAATAAATATAGGCCCATGTAAGTGTCTGTTGATATTGAGACAAAAGACTGAAAGGAAGTCCACCAAATGTTAACTGAAGTTCCCGTTAACACAGTTCTTCTAACAGAAGTTCCCGCTAACATTTAGTTCCTGAGCCACTTTTGGTTTGGGTTTTAGAATAGTCCTTGGATTTTATGCTATAAGCAAGAACACCTTTTCCAAATTAAAAAAAAAAAAATCAAATCACAGTTTTTACAGCAACGCCTAAGAGAAGCGGGGGCTCTCAGGTGGAAAATGAGAGGCAGGGCTCTTGTACCTCCCAGGTCCCTGGGAATGCCCCCAAGGTGGGGCCTTACCTCGATGTTGCTGATGGCCCGCATGTAGTGGGCGCCTAGGGGCAGGTGCACGGCCAGCTCTGCTTCGTAGGCCCCCTCGCCCTCGTTGGCTGCATCCATCTGCAGCTCCAGCACATTATCGGCTCCAATGAGGAGGGGGGAGCCCATCCTATGGGGAGAAAGGAGTAAAGCGGAGGAGGCTGGGCCCAGGCCCAGGGTCTGGGAGGGGAGTGAGGACAGAGTATCAGGTGGTAAAGGGGTGTCATGGGGCGAATGGCCTCCTCACACGTTGGCGGTGAGCTGGAGCTGGGGCACGCACAGGTCATCTTCCCCACAGTCCAGGATGATTCGGGTCTAGAAGAGGCATATCAAGGTGTGCGGGTGAGTTGGGGACATGTGAGGTTTGGGGGGAGGGTCACATCAAGACTTAGGGAATTAGAAGGTCTGAGAATGAAAAGGAGTCTGGAGCTGACATCACGGCTTCGGGGTTTGCATCAGGGTTTGGGATGATGCCAGGACGGTGACATTAGGATTTATGGGTTTGTCAGTTTACAGGTGATGTCAACAACACATGGGGCTTGAATCAGGGTTTAAGGAATTTTGAATTTTGGGGGTTTTCATTAAGGTTTAGAGTGACATCAAAGATGAGAGGTGACATCAAGGTTTTGGGGTTCCCATTAGGACTTGGGACACTAACCCTAACCCTGACTCTCTGGCAGGGGTCCTGCACCTCCTTTGCCTGTTCCCACCCATCCCCACCTGCTCCTGGACATGGGTGTCTCCATGAAGCACGACAGCAGGGGCTACTCCATCCTTCCTGGGTTGCAAGGACACATTGAAGCTGAGCACAATGGGGCTCAGCTTGTCCCGGAAGTCGGCCTCGTCCTAGGGAGAGGACAAGAGTCAGACCATGCACCCTGCCGTACACGTCCCTCTGACCACCCCCGTACCCGCAGCATCCAGCCCATGCCCCAGGGCTGGAGGAACAGGATTGCACACCCAGCCCTTCCCATCCCCAGCCTGGGTGTACTCGGAGGAAAGCCATGGTGGTGTGGCAGATGGGGCTGTGCCTCCCGCCCAGGTCCAGATGCAGCGTGGTGCCTGACAATTGCGAATTCAGCAGTAGCACCCGCCGGCCCTGGCGGGGCTTCTGCCGGTCCAGCTGCAGCTCGGCGTTTAGGGCTGGCAAGGCAAGCAGGGAGGGTCAGGGTCTCCCTGGCCAGCCTCCAGGGGAGCCAGACCCGCCGCCCTTCCGTCCCCATGACGACACTCACGCAGCTGCTGAGGAATGTTGTGCCCAGTGGCTCCTACACACATCTGTATGTTAAAGCTGCAAAGATAGGAGTTGGGCTCAGGGGCTAGGGCCCCTCAAAGTCCCAGACCTTGCCTGGCCCATGCCCTCTGTCTCCTCACCAGGTCACGCGCGTCTGGGTCTGGGGCAGGACACAATTCTTCACAGCAGGATTCAGTGAATCTTGTACCAGCAGCTGGACATTGGCCATCACCACTGGCTGAGCTCTGGTGGCATGGGGGGAAGCTTGCCATTGTGGGCCCCCCTGGCCCAGTATCCTCTGATGGTGCGGACCGTCCCCCACCATGCCCCTGGAGCCGGCACTCACCTGTACACAGCCACCTTGTTGGCCCCATAAGCTCCCACCAGGAGGTCTACAGATATTGGAGGGGTCAGAATCAGCAGTTAGGGGAGGCATGGGGTCCTCATCTCAGCTTTCTCAGGGTTTCCCACACCATTTCCCCCCCTGGGGTTTCGACCTGGCCTCCCCTGGCCTCCCAGCCTCCCAGATGGGTCAGAACACTCAGTGGGGCACAGGCCCCTGACTGTGTCTTTCAGCATCTCCAGCTAATGCCCGAGAGCCCTTCTTGGCTAGCTGGATGCATTCCAGGGGCACCTGGGTATCCATTGTCATCGATGTCTGTGGCACCTCGCAGGGAGAAGCCGAAGCCAGAGCCTGCCGGGAAGGGGCTGTCCAGGATCTGGGAGGGGCGTGAGCTCAGCCCCTCGCTCTGCCCCAGGAACACCAGCACTTGGCCCCGACCACTGGGACCTCCGTATGGGGCGGCCACTGCAATATCTGGAAGGAGCAACAGAAGGGGAGGGGCTGTTTGCTATCATTTTCTCCAGTTTCTGTTTGTTATCCAGGTGGCCCCCAGCTCCCTCTCCGGGATACCCCAGGAGATCAGCAGCGGGATGCAAGAGTCAGCATCAAGGAGGCACCTGCCCTGCCCTCCAGGAGTTTACAGCTTTGTACAAGAGAGACCCGCCAAGTAGGATGATTATAAAAACAGTAGCAGCCCTTGGTATCTATTGAGGAAAATATATTGACACAATTTCATTTAATCCTGAAAATTAGGCATTATTATTCCCATTTTAGATGAAAAAACTGAGTCCCAGAAGATTAAATAACCAAGACCTATTAAGTAGTGGCCCCCTCTTCCCCTAGGGAACTTCATCCCATTTCTTTCTTTCTTTCTTTTTTTTTTTTTAAGTATTTATTTTAGAGAGAGAGAGAATGTGCATGCGTGCGCGAGCAGGAGCGGCAGAGGGAGAGGGGGAGAATCCCAAGCAAGCTCCACGCCCAGCACAGAGCCCAACTTGGGGCTCCATCCTATGACCCTGAGATCATGACCTGAGCCAAAATCAAGAGTCAGACGCTTAACCAACTGAGCCACCCAGGGTCCCCCCTTCACCCCATTTCAATTCCACCATGCAAACTCAGAGTCACACTATGGGCTTGTCATCACTAATAACTTTTAAGATCACTCTTGAAAATGTATTTTTTAGTCATCATAATCTTATTACTTTATAAGAGTTCTTTACGTGTGACAGCAATAAGATCTTTTATACGTATGTTGTAACTGTCTTTGTTTTCTATGCACCTTTTTGCCTTTAAAAAAAAAAAACTATTGATTTTTCTGATGGAGTTACATGGAATTCATCCAAATAAGACCACCCTGACCAGTTTCATCCCCAGGCTCTGGGCCTCCCCTCCCTCCTGATCTTTTTTTTTTTTTTTTTTAAAGATTTTATTTATTTATTTAAGAGGGAGAGAATGAGAGAGACAGCATTAGGGGAGAGAGGGTCAGAGGGAGAAGCAGACTCCCTGCTGAGCAGGGAGCCCGATGCGGGACTCGATCCCGGGACTCCAGGATCATGACCTGAGCCGAAGGCAGTTGCTTAACCAACTGAGCCACCCAGGCGCCCCCTCCCTCCTGATCTTTAGCATCTTCATCTTTTTGCTTATTTCTGACCATTTGATCACCCTGGTCAGATCCTCTGCCATCTTACCCCATTGCCAGTCTTTAGCAAGCCTGGCCAGACCTCAGCAGTTGGGGCCCCAGGGATTCCTGACTGCCCATCTAAACTAGGGATCTAAGGCAGTACCCAGTGGTCCCGAGGGAGTTCTGCTCAGCCCCCTCTCCCACTCTGCTCAGCACCTATTTCAAACTTTCTTCAAGCTCCCAGCCCCCTACCTCCTTCACAAAGAGAAGCAGCCCAACTCTTGTGCTATAAATCCGAACCCACTTTCCCCAACTCCTATACCCTGCCACCAGGCTAAATATCCCAGCCCAGCCTTCTCCGAGGAGCATCACAGGGACACTCCTCTGGCTCACTTTCCTCACCACCCTGTTTCCCCACAAGAGCATTTCCTCCACCTTCAACCTACTCCGTATGCTTTGAAATTAGAATCACCTTCTCTTGATGCTCATCTTTCAGGAATCATCTTTTCTTTTTTTTTTTGTCCTTTCACAAACTGGTTGAAAGAGCTGTCTACACTGGCTGCCTCCAATTCTTCACTTCCATTCTTACCGTGCCCCGTGGCATTCTGACTTCGGTGCTTACCCAGCCCTGAGTCAGTTTCTTCTCACTGTCACCCATGACCTCCTTCTTGCTAAAGCCCACGGAGACTTCTCCAGCCCCATCTAACGATGTCTTTCAGCAGCATCTGGAACCACTGACCCCCTTCCTCCTGCTCAGAGCATTCTCTTCCTTTCAGTTCAGGGCCATGAGATCTCCTGGTTTCCCTTCTACTTCTCTGGACACTCCTGTCTCCTTTCTAGACTCACTTCCCCTAAACGCTCTAGCTCCCCAGGGCTTTGTCCTATGCCTCTTCTCACTTCACAGGTGCCCAGGGCCTCATCCACCCTCTCCAAGCCCCTGTCTCCCACTCGGAACTCTCTGGTGCCAGTGGGGAAGGCGCACACAACTCTTCTCTGGATGTCTGCCTAATGCTCCCAAGCCCTTCAAGGTCAAACAGGCCCAGAGCTGAACTGCTGATCTCTGCCCCCGCCCTCCCCTCCCCAGGCCCTCCACTTGGCCTGAACTCCAGGCAGCGAAGGCACCAACACCCCCTCAACTCCTTGCTCTCTCTTAGCTCCACATCCAGCGGCCCATCAGGTCCTATTAGTCCAGGTACTAAATATCTGTGAAATCACCCCATCTCTAACTCCACTGCCAAAATCCACACCCAGGCGGTCACCATCCCTTGCCTGGATGAATGCAAACAAATCCTAAGTGGTCTCTTTCAACTCTCCTCCGGAAAAGCCCCCTTCCCCGGCTCCCGCTGCCCTCCGGTCAAATCCGTGGTCTTTGTTGTGGCTGTTAACCACTCTGCAGCAAGTGGGGCTCCTCCCTTCCCTTACCGTTGTAGCCATCCCGGTCGAGGTCGCCCAGAGGTGCGATGGCCGAGCCGAATCGCCCGTAGAGCTGTGTGCCGGTCAGCAGGAGGCTGGGGGCGCCCAGCACGTGGTGACCTCGAGGCTGCAGGAACAAGTACACGCGCCCCACCTCGGCCAGCTTGCGGTCAGCGCGGCTCTCCATGTACAGTGGCGCGCCCACCAGCAGGTCGTGCCTCCTGCAGGCCAGACGGGCAGTGCGGTGGGGGGGGGGGCAGGGGGATGCTGCGGGCCTGGGCCAAATCTCGCCCATTCCATTCTCATCCTCCCGCTCCCCTCGGTAATCGTCACGTGGGAGTGGGCGAGGAAAGGGGGAGACTGAGAGCAGTCAACCCCTCTGGTGATTGGGGACCCAAACTGGTAGGGATGGGGCGCCCCTCACCCGTCTCCGTTGACATCAGTGACGGTCACTGAGTGTCCAAAATACGAAGCCATCTGCAGGAAGACGAGGCGTACTTAATTCCCGCCCCCAGGCCGGCACCCTCTCTTACACATTGCCCCCCCACCCCGTGGAGTATTCTAGGGTTCCAATTCCCCAGCGTCGGCCACCCCCACCGGGGCGGGCCTCCACCTGCTCTCCATGCAGCTTGTGCAGCGTCTGGTGGGACGAGTTCAAAATTTCCACCTGCACGGAGAACGCACAGGAGCGCGTCATTCTTGCTCCCCAAGACAGCCTCCCGTTTCGGGTGAGAAAGGGCAGGAGGTTTAGGGGGCTTGTGAGGCTGAGAAGTGGGGTCGGGGGCTTTGGGATGCCCGGTGGCGGGACAGGGCACTCACCGCTCCCAGGGTCCAGCTCCAGGTGGGGGCACCGAGGACATATTCTGCGGAGAGCCGGACCCCAGTGAATGAGGTCCTTCGAACCTACCCCCCTCCCATCCGCCATTCTGCAGCCCAGGGGAGATTTCGGTGTGGGGCTTGGAAGTGCTCCTCCCCGGGCTGGGCTCCCCAACCTTTGTCCCTAAATGGATTTCTTGCCTGTAGTACTGAGATCCCCGTCGAACTCTCCCACGGCCACCGAGTACCCTGAAGACACAGCACGAATTAATCTTTCTGGGAGGGCGAAGCAGGGAGAGGGCCAAGGGCGAGGAAGAAGGGGACTCAGAGACCACCCAGTCCAAACCCTGCATTGTGGAGATGGGAAAACTGAGGCCAAGACCTGCCCTAGGCTGCGCAGCGAATCCAGGGTGCGAAAGATAAGCTGGGGCATATGGGAGTGGGGCGGTGGCGGGGGAGCTCTGGGAGCCGAGGGCGGAGGCGCCTTAGGTGCTGGGGTTGGCCAGCTGGGGTTGGCGCTCCGGCAGGGGCAGGACTTGCCCCGCGGAGTGGGCGGTGATAGAGTGCGGGGAGGCCTAGAAGGGAGGCGCCAGGGTTACCCCGGTAGCCGTCGTAGTACTCTGGCTTGCTGTTGTCTAAGGTGAAGCTCTGGTTGGGCACGTGCCACAAGAGGGTGCCTGGGCGGTAACTCGAGACGATACTGGTAATGGGAGCCCGCGCCAGGAGACCTAGGGCGCAAGGGACAGCGGGTGTGGGGACCCAGACTCCTGGGGTCTCCCCAGGCCCAGAGAAGGGAGGGAGGTGTACAGATGGGCAGGTACCTAAGAAAAAATAGCCGCCAGGGGCCCCAAGCACCAGCTCTCCAGCCTGAAAGGGAAGCCCTGGAAGTGAGAGGGAGCCCTGTTTGGGCGCCGCCCCCACGCCGCTTAGGCTCCCTACTCGCCTGAGTAACCACGGAGCTGAAGCCCGCTTCGCAGTAGCGCCGGTCGTCTACTGGAGGGGGAAGGGGGCGGGGTCAGCGAAGGGGCAGATCGAGGAGTGTGCACTGGAGCCTGGGCCGGGGCGGGGCTAGGAGCTGGGCCGGGGCGGGGCTAGGAGCTGGGCCGAGTTGGGCCACGGGGGTTGCCAGACTGAGAGTAGGCCTAGGGGGCGCCCGGCGCGGGGTGGAGGGGTAATTAGGTTGGGGGCGGAGCGAAGGGGCCGTGAGTGGGCGGAGACAGAACGGATAGCTGAACTCACTAAAGCCGTTTTTCACGTAAACCTGGCTCATGGTGTTAGCCCGACAGGGCGAGTACTCTGCGCGGTGGCCGTTCTGTAGCTGAGCCACGAAGCAGCCACCTACGGGCGTCTTCTCAGCTTCTTCGGTCTTTTCTAGGGCGTTCCAGTGCTGCCAGGGGGCGCAGGCCTGGAGCAGGGCCACAGGAGAGTGGGGAACCGGCGGGACTCGGGGTTCCCCCCCTCCACGTTTCCCTGCCCGCGACTGCTCTCTGTGCCCCGTTCCGCGGCGCCCACCACAATGTTGTCGTTCCAGCTGACGACCGACGCCCCCAGTCCTTGCCGGGACTTGAAGGTTTGGAAGGTGTGGGAGCCTACGTGTCGGGTCTCATCATCTGGAGGGCACAAGAAGGGTGGGGCGCTGAAGCCCGGCCGTCCACGCTCCCTGTAGCAGCCCCCACTTTCCCTCCTTGCGCTGGACTCACTGAGGTCGAAGGTTAGCAAGGTGCACTGGCTGCCCTCGGCCCTCCAGGGGCACAGGAACACGCCGCCTGTCTCCTCCTGGCTGGGGCCCAGGGTCCGCGGGGCGCCCGCCACGATGGCCACTCTGCGTAGGAAAGCTGGGTGAGCGCGGTGCGGATCCCGAGGTGCCACATGCCCCGGCGCCTGCGCTGAGAGCACTACCCAGAAGAGCTGTGTGCCTTGGAGGGCCCTGGATCATCTTCCCTCAAGGAGACATCACAGACCATGGAGGCCAGCCTTCTCATTTTATGGGCAATGAAACTGTCTCCCAGTGGGGAAGCCACGTGCCTAAAGTAGTCTAGCAAGTTAAGGGTAAAGCTGGTACTATAACCATTTGGTTTGATTTAGATATGGGGAGTTTGTCATCCTTGCTGAGAAAGACCTCCTAAGCTCTGCACACCATCCTACTCCATATCCCTCACCCTTGTGCCCCACACCAAAAGTCAGGGGTTAACATGCTCCCTAGAACTTAAGATTGTTACCAGATACCTTCCTGAGAGCTAGTTTTAATGGTGAAGAATTAGGGAAGCTACTGAGCACCTCTAAAGTGGGGGTACTGATATCACTGAGGACCTTAGTAGATCTAGGTTCAAATCATAGTTCTACCATATATAAATTGGGGACAATACCAACCAATGTCAGAAGTAAATGAAATCAATGTATGAGAGACATTTTCGCATGGTGCCAACCAAGTAACATATAACATGTACTCAAAAACATGCTGTAATTTTTTTTCTTTTAGCTCGCAGGATGTTTAAGTAATACCTATGAGGCCAATATCTGTAGAAAGAAAGGGAAAGGGGCGCCTGGGTGGCTCAGTCAGTTAAGTGTCTGCCTTCGGCTCAGGTCATGTGCTGGGATGGAGCCCCACATCGGGCTCCTTGCTCAGCAGGGAGCCGGCTTCTCCCTCTGCCTGCCGCACCCCCTGCTTCTGCGTTCTCTCCCTCCCTCTCTCTGACAAATAAAATCTTTAAAAAAAA